GCTGTTTTTATATCTCTGTCTTCGCGCCAAGCAACGGGTGTGAATAGTTTTTCTGAAATTAATTTCTATAGACGATTTGTTTTTATATGGATTTTGAACCGGTTTCGGTTTTTTTTAAAATCATTTTATTAGACCGGTTTCACTTATAATAAGTTCGGTTTTTTTGAAGTGAAATTTAATTAGAAAACAGTGTTAAGACCGGTTCGGTTCGGTTATATTAGAAAAACCGAAAGAAAATAGTTTCATACATATATTAAAACCTATTACTAAATGGTAGTTCGGTTTTAACCTACCCGATTCTCAAAAAGCATGTTCGGTTTTTTTCATTCACTTAAAAAAACGATTTTAAATACGCACCTTTAATCGGAACGAACAAGTGAAAAAAGATATTGTTTTTCACATAGGCATAAATTGATAATAGTAACAAGTTATCAAAAAACTACTTAATATATGTTTAGAACTAATGAAATAACATATAAAATTTAATGAAGGTAAATTTACAAGACTATCCATAAAAATAGTTTATTTCGTTGTAATGAAAATATGTAAATTCAAATCTGATGTTTCTTTCTACCACTATGTCCATGTATGCGTTTATTTATTTATAAAAAAATTAATAAAAAAATAAATAATTGTTGAATCTACTTTCAAACATAATTTCCTCAACTACCATTCTCATATTGATCATATGCTTTTTAACTTAATATCCCATAACTATTTTAATTAAGAAGTTGATAAGTATATATTTAATTCTATAATAATTTTGAAAATAAATAATTTTTGTTAGACATATAAAGATAAATGACGCTAGTTTTTTCTTTAATATAAAAATACAATGCCTTCACTTTAAGTTACTCGATGTAAAGGAGATTAAAAGAAAAAAGAAGTAGGGAACTTGTAACAATCAACAAAACTTCATTCTAAGGGCAACACCAACAATTGTAGTAAAGAACAATGGTTTTGTGCAACAACAGACTTGAAGGAGTACCACCTACGTACCAAGAAAAACTGATAAAGAGGCTTGGATCAACAACTAATTGTCCATTCTTCACCTGAGAAAATATCCTCGAGCATATGATATTCATCCGAAGCATGAATTCAGTTACAACACCAACATCATCTTGAACTCTAGAAAATGTAATCCAAAACATGATAAATTGAATGTAAAACCAAACGAAACACGGGCCAAAAAAAGAACACATACCAAAAGCAACCTACCCATATATCATACCACAAATAAAAACTCGGAGGAATAAATTGTCGGCACGAAGTACTAATCAACCTAAATGTATTCTACCATTGGGACAAAGATACACACACACACCAAGCTCACACATTATAATTGTGTATTTGGTACACCACTAAAGTAAATAGTTTATGTTTAGACGGTAACTACAATCCTCTGAGTTGGGTGGTTGAGGTGACTCTCAGTGAAATAGACCCAATAAGCATGATTTGTCATCTGGTACACAAAAGATACAGTTACGGCCAAAAGAAAAAATAAAATGAACCATTATGTTTAATCTATAGAAGTGATTCTCTGAAGAGATGTCAACGTGCATACTCCACAAAAAAGAGATCAGCAAATCTAGAAGATCAAAAGAGTCACAAATATACCCTTGCTTCCCTTCCTTCATCACATTGATTGCTCCAGTCTACATAATTGATTATATTATTCCTCGGTATAACCTCTGAACAATGAGAGTTCAACAATAAAACGACTATAAGATTAAAAAGAAATGCACAGTAATCATTGTACATATATAATTAGGTTTTTTAATATCTTAGTTTAGTATGTATCTGTTTTTGTTAAACCAGAGAGAGAGAGAGAGAGAGAGAGAGAGAGAGAGAGAGAGAGAGGAGTGGACAAACAACGTCAAATTGGAGTGAAAACCTCAATCTCATATCATTCAAATAGACTTCCTTTGATGCAGCTATCAAAGCTAACGCCTATCAGATACAAATTCCAACTTTTTGCGTCTTCCCAATTGTCTTCCTAAAATAACTATGATATGGTTAGAAGCATAAAAAAAAGGTCCCTTTATTTTACTTTTGCTTGTACTTTTGTTTTTGCATCTTTTGGATGAATCTCATATAGATAGTAGCTTAAAACCCCATAGTTATTAAAAATAGTGACTTGATGTAGAAATAAAGGAAATAGAAAATGAGAAAATTACCGCCATGACCGGAATCATGCATATTAAAGTCTTGAGCTTTATTCTTGACATTGAACCATTTCTTTAGGGTTATAGGCTAAGAAACGTTCAAAGTCATAAATATAAAGTCAAGTTCTTCAAATTGAGAACACTCAGTGACATAAATATACTATCGAAAGAAAAAAAAACCCTTGCTGGTCTTGAAGATTATGTATCTTATTGTTCCAAAAACCTGGTAAATGTAAACACAAAGTAATTTAGTTACAAAAGAAACAATAGGGAAGCATCAAAGAAGAAACAAATTCAAAAAAGACGAAAAGGGCACTAAATAAAGATGTTTACCGGTAAGATTTAGCAGCATTTTATAGAGCTTGAATGTACTTCCCTTAATAATTGCGATAATAGCTCAGCATTCCAGCATTTTGTTGAGCTTAAATGTACGCGCTGCTCAATTTCACTACAGATGTTGATGTTTACCAGAAAAATAATCGAGATTAAAAAGTAGAAAAACAAATGTGTTTTGGGGATCCAAAACCTCTTGTTCGAACGATAGTTGGGGATACCGATTTAGGGTTGAAACTCTTTCATATTTTGGTCATGGTGGTAGTGGAATATACCAGATTTTTCTAGACTTCGTTGTCCACGGGAAATCGAAATTAGATAGAGAATAAAAAAGATAAAATTTCACCTGAGACATGAAAAGGCGAAAAATCAAACCACCCACAACCCGGAGTTGATACTTACCAGAAAAACAATCGATCTTGAGTGCGGGTGTTCGGGTTTTTAAAGTAATTCTTGAAGAGATTGGGGCTAAGATTGCGGGATGATGATGGTAACAAATGAGATAAGGAGAATGTAACTATACCACTATCACAATTAGCATTTTTAGCTAGGAAATTCTATTCTCATGTAAACATCATCTATTGTAAGGCATGTACTCTGAAAATCATACTCTATGCTCAATCAAAACCATCCATTTGAATCCAAACTCTTGATTTAAGTTCAAAACCTAATACAATACATCTCATATGGATTGAAAACCCTAGAAATCCCGGTTCAAGTTAATATGGACTAGGATTCTCTTATTGGGCCTAATGGACCAATAAACTCTCAATTTAACTAATTTGGGCCTAGGAACCCTATTTGGGCTCTAATGAAACCCACATTCATGAAACTAAAACATTTTGGGTTATGTGGGCCTAGAATAGTTCATTTTATCTCTAATGGGCCATGTTGGGCCATAGATGATTCATTAGCCCTAATGGGTCGTAAAATCCATTCCTTCACCACCTTTGGGCCGTAGACCCATAAAAAGGGCCCAATGGGCCGAAAAATATTATTTGGGCTCCATAAATTCGAACTAAACTAAAGAAGGGTCCAAACCATTTCATCTCCATTTTTCTTTAGCCCATTCTCGGCCCAATTAACAAAAAAAAAAGAAAAAAAAGGGAAAAGGAGATTAATCTAGCAAGTGACACATAATCTTTGCATGGTGGACTTCCATGCAACATCACCTCAACATCCCTCTCTCTCTTCTCTTATTATTGGTCGAGACTTCCCCCCCCCCCCCCATCTCTCCAGATCTCACTTCAAAATTATTCAAACTCTCTCACAAATCCTCTTAAGCTCAAGGAGAAACTCCCTCATTTCCTTTGCCATTTTCGTGATCTTGGGTGTGATTCCAAGAGTTTTTCAACAAGTATCATCTACTTGGTAAGTTGTCATCATACATAGGTCATTGATTTCCATTTTTAAACTAAGAACACTCCCTTACATGGTTCATTTCGTGTTCTAGCTTCCTAGGACCATCTAAGTTCGAAGCTCCTTCCAAAGAAGCACTTAAGGCCGAAAACAACATCATCTCCTCTCAACTCTTCATCAAAAACCGAATCCAAACCCCAATGTGAGTTCATACCCCTTGTTTTTTGGTTTTACTATGTTTTGGGGGAGGATACAAGTTGCTATGTGCTAGATCTATGTATTTGTGCATGTTTATGTGTGTTTTCTAATTGATATGTGGTGATTATGTGAAGAACTTCATAGATCTCGACAATATATGTAAACTAAAACACTTTATACAACTAAGTTATGCTTGTACTTTAAAAACGGAGTTTTGTTAAACTATAAAGTAACATAACTTTAAAAAAGTTTTTGAAAT